AAGAAAAAAGACAGGGAAAAAATGACCAAAGGGAATACAGTCACAAAAAAACCCCAAAGGGAAAAGGAAAAAAGGTGTGCACATACTATGCACTTTGGGGATCGTGGTGGGAAATCTGGAAAAAAAAGATGGGACGTGAACTATGACCACCCTAGAAAAAGCATGCCCCCTTGACAACGGAAAAAAGCAAACTCCCCTTCCCGTAGGCTTTTCCCCTGAACTGTTACTCTTTTAGTACAGGAAAGACTGTGCTATAAATTAAATTGCCCGGCATACCATCAAAGGGGGACAAAAAGTACAAAAAATCCAGGCCCTGGGGAAAACCCGGGGAGCCCCAAGCCCTTTAAAAGGGAGGGTTTTTTAGTGCCCGGAAGGAAAAAAAATGGCAGGGGGAAAAGGAGAAATGTCACCAAATCCGTATTCCTGGAGTGGGACCCCGCGATGGCCTCCACTCCAAACACAGATACAGATACAAGCCGGAAAAAAAATCCCCCCCCCGTACCAACAAACCCCAGTCCCATAACTTTTTCCTTGGGAAATTACAGGGGTTTAAAACCCCCAAAAAACAAAAAAAATACCTTTTATCCCTGGACTGTTTTCGAGGCAAAGGAAAAGTTCGCGGCTTTCCTGAACCCACAAAGGATCACTTGGACAACGAAAAAATGGATCCCCGGTTACAACCTATCGATGTGACAGAGTGAACAGGCAAAAAAGGGGGGGGGGTTGGCCCCCGTACATTTCAGGTCACTTGTTTGCACAGAAATGCTAAATCCTCAAAAGATGTAGTGGAAGTTTTAGCAGTAAGGTCGAGAACCCAAAACCTAGTCATTGGGTGTCTACAAGCCTCCCGGGGCAAATCCCGCAATTCCGGAACAGCTGTTAAAAATTGGGGCCACTGTCTGGAAAAATTTCCCGCTCCCGCACCCAAAATCTTGTCCCGGGGTTTCAACTTAAGGGACCTAAAATGGAGGAATATAGCAAATAAAATTGTTGGAAATAACCCAGGGGGGCTCTGATGAAAATTTACATCACACAAGCTTTTAAAAACTCTGCACAAAATTCAAAATTTAAACCGCAAATAAAGACCCACTAACGGGAGATACCTAGACCCCTCTTACTAAAAGTGATTTATGAAAGTCACCATATCAAAAAAAATTACTCAGATCACAACTAATTAGGTTCGTATGTTGAGCGGGCCCAGACCCACATAAGAGATTTGTCACGGGGACATTCACCCCAATTCAACTTCAATAAAAAAACATAAAGTGGGACCCAAATAAACCCAAATCCTAACGATATAATGGGAAGATATACTAAGCAACACAGACCCCAAATTATGCTAGAACAGATTAATCGGGGGGCACCGATGTAGCAAAGGGGTTTATTCCCCTTTAAAAAAAAGGAGGGGAGATGTAAAATAGAAAGAGACAGGCGCTCCCTTTCAGGCGACGGAAAAGAATAACAGAGCGGTTTAAAGAGGTCATATATCTAAAATGCGAGGGAGACATGGTCAGAGAAATAGCAAGCATCAAACTTAAGCTAAAAGAATCCTTTAGGAGTCAGGAATCGCGGGAAGAACTAAAAGCCATAAATGAAATCGAAAGAAACCCCCACAGTATTTCTTCTCCTATGCCAAATCAAAATCGAGAACAACGTCCAGTATTGGGCCCCTACTTAAACAAGATGGGTCCTACACAGATGACAGAAGGAAATGAGTGAGCTACTCAAGTCCCATTATGACTCAGTTTTTAGCAAGCCGTAACCAGACTGAGAGTCGAAGATAAAAAATGAATTTTTTATGAGAGGGGCCACAAAATTTGATTAACACAAGCCTATCCGATGTTATCCTGACGCCAAATGACTTCGAACAGGCGATAAATGACATGCCATCCCACTCTCCCCCAGGGCCAGATCATGGAACTCTGTGTTCATCAAGAACTGCAAGAAGCCCCTATCACGAGCCTTTTCCATCCTATGGAGAGGGAGCATGGACACGGGGGTCGTCTCACAGTTACTAAAAACAACAGACATAGCCCCACTCCACAAAGGGGGCAGTAAAGCAACAGCAAAGAACTACGGGACCAATAGCACTAACATCCCATATAATAAAAATTTTTTGAAAGGGTCCAAAGAAGAAAGATCACCACCCATCTGGGAAACCCATCAGTTACACAACCCAGGACAACATGGGTTTAGAACAGGTCGCTCCTGTCTGTCTCAATATTGGATCACTACGAAAGGTCCTAAATGCACTAGAAGACAAAAAGAATGCAGATGTAATATATACAGACTTTGCAAAAGCCTTTGACAAGTGTGACCATGGCATAATAGGACAAAATGCGTGCTAAAGGAATAACAGGGAAAAGTCGGTCGATGGATTTTATAATTTCCTACTAACAGAACACAGGAGTAGTCGTCAACAGAGTAAAGTCCCAGGCAGCTACGGTGAAAAGCTCTGTTCCCCCAAGGCACAGTACTCGCTCCCATCTTGTTCCTCATCCCATATCCGACACAGACAAGGATGTCAGCCACACACCGTGTCTTCCTTTGCAGATGACACCCGAATCTGCATGACAGTGTCTTCCATTGCAGACACTGCAAAGCTCCCGGCGGACATCAACCAAATCTTTCAGTGGGCTGCAGAAAACAATGTGAAGTTCAACGATGAGAAAATTTTAATTACTCAGATATGGTAAAACATGAGGAAATTAAATCTTCATCGGAGTACAAAAACAAATTCTGGCCACAAAATAGAGCGAAACACCAACGTCAAAGACCTGGGAGTGATCATGTCGGAGGAGCTCACCTTCAAGGGCCATAACATTGTATCAATCGCATCTGCTAGAAAAATGACAGGATGGATAATGAGGAAAACCCTTTAAAAATAGGGGGCCAAGCCCATGATGAACTCTTCAGGTCACTTGTTCTATCTAGGCTGGAATATTGCTGCACACTAACAGCACCTTTCAAGGGAGGTGAAATTGCCGACCTAGAAAATGTACAGAGAACTTTCACGGCGCGCATAACGGAGATAAAAACACCTCAAATTTTTGGGAGCGCTTGAGGTTCCTAAACCTGTATTTTCCCTGGAACGCAGGAGGGAGAGATACATGATTATATACACCTGGAAAATCCTAGGGGACTAGTACCGAACTTGCACACGAAAATCACTCACTACAAAAGCAAAAGACTTGGCAGACGATGCACCATCCCCCAATGAAAAGCAGGTGTGTCACTAGCACGTTAAGAGACCATACAAAAGTGTCAGGGGCCCGAGACTGCTCAACTGCCTCCCAGCACACATAAGGGGGGTTACCAACAGACCCCTGGCAGTCTTCAAGTGGCACTGGAAAAAGCACCTAAAGTCAGTTCCGATCAGCCGGGTGTGGCTCGTACCGATTTATTTTTTTTTTTTGGGGAAGCCCACTATTACGGGGAAAAATCAGATTTCATAGAAATAGATGTTTTTTGTAGGTTGTTTCTTTGTAGGCTAGTTTGGAATTTAACAGCACTGTTTTTTTACCTGCTTGGTAGCCCATCAGTTTGCAATCCTTTAGGTCATCACTACGTATGTTAAGGCAAAGTGGTCCTTGATAAGCTGTAGGGTGGTCTCCCTGCAGGTCGCTTGGGTGACTGTTTGGCTGGGGGGATGTTTGTGTTAACTAAACAGTGTCAGATAGCTACTGTTGGTCATTATGGTCTGGAAGTTGGTTATGACATTGGCAAGTTGTTGGTCCACTCCTGATCTTTCCTCTATAATGTTGGGAGTAAGTAGGGTGACTTGGTCTTTTTGAGTGTTGATGGTGTCTAGGGACTGGGTGTGGGTGTTGC